TTAGAAAGGTGTGGAAGCAGAAAAAAGGTCTAAGAAACTAACGAAGCAGAAACAGTTTTTTGGACAATTTTTGTAATGATTCTAAAAGGGATACATTCAATTTGTGGAATGCATATAAAAACATAAGAAAATAAGATTCATCAATAACTACAAAATGCAAAGAATTTCACTGCTAACCTCTTGATGTATTTACTTTCAGTCTTTTTAATACATTTTCAGACTAATGGACTATTTCAAACATTGCTATTTTATGGAGTCGAATTTATCGAATTTTTTGTGGGTTCTTAATTTCAAGTCACTGTTACAAAGAACTTCCTCATCTGAATTTGTAAAAGTATTCTCCTGCATTTTCTTTTAGTACATTTATGATTTTCACTTTTCACATTTGAATCTTTGATCCATTTGTAATTTAAGTATATAGATAAAGCAGTGAACATTCATGCAGCTACACAGTTGTATCAAATATTAACTTTTCATGTTAATTCCACGTTATTGAGATATAATTTTCAGACAATAAAATGCATCAATTGAAAGTGTGCAGGTCAGGCTGGGCACAGTGGCTCACGCTTGTAATCCCAGCACTTTGGGAGGTCAAGGTGGGAGGATCAGTTGAGGTCAGGAGTTTATGCCAGGCTGGGCAACACAATGAGGCCCCATCTCTAAAAAAAAATTTTTTAATTAGCCAGGCATGGTGGCATGTGCCTGTAGTCCCAGCTACTTGGGAAACTGAGGTGGGAAGACCACTTGAGCCCAGTAATTCAAGGCTGCAGTGAGCTATGATCATGCTACTAAACTCCAGCCTGGGCAACAAAGTGAGACCCTGTGTCTAAAAATAAAAATAAAAGTAGGCAGCTTCATGGAGTTTGAAAGCACATGAACTTGTGTAATCAACACCCAGATCAAGATACAGAATAGCATTTCAACATGTAGAACATCAACCTTAGAAATTCTTTCTTACTGCTTTCCAGCCGACACATCTCTCCCACAGAGACAACCACTATTCTTATCTCTAACTATATCAAAGATGAGTTTTTCTTATTCTTGAAGTTAATGTAAATGTAGTCATACTGTTTGTACTGTTTTGTGCCTGACTTCTTCAGCTCAATATGTTTTTGAGATTTTTCCATGGTGTCGTGAGTACCAGCAGTTTATTCTTTATTGTTGTTGCATACTACTCCATTACATAAACATGTCACAGTTTGTTGATCCATTCTCCTGTTTATGAGCAGTTGAGTTATTTTTATTTTAGTGCTATTAAGAATATAACTGATATAAGCATTCTTGTGCAAATATTGTTGTGAGTATAAAACATATACATTCATCTCTCTTGGACATACACCTAACCATGAAATTGCTGGGTCCTGGGGGGAGGTCCTTTGTTAGATAGATAGATAGATAGATAGATAGATAGATAGATAGATAGACAGACAGACATAGATATAGTACATTACTGTATAAATATGTGTTTATTTATTTTTATACTCATATTTATTTATAGAGTCATGCACCACATAATGACATTTCAGTCAACAATGATGGAACACACACGTACAAAAGTTGTCCCAGAAAACTATAATGTCATATTTTTATTGTACCTTTTCTATGCTTAAATGTGTTTCCAGATAACTAATACTTACCATTGTGTTACAGTTGCCTACTGTATTCAGCACAGTAACATGTTGTGCAGGTTTATAGCCTACAAGCAATAGACTATAAGTGTGTTATAGGCTATACCATCCAAGTTCATCAAGTCCACTGTGATGTTTACACAACAACAAAATCACTAAAGGTGAATTTCACAGAATATATTCCCACTGTTACAAAAGATATGATGTTGTGTATATATGTGTTCTAATGTATGTGGGGTGGGGGGGGGGTGGTGGGTGTATGGAGAGAGAGAGAGAATATTTTCACCCAGGCTGTGGCTTACCTTTTCACTTTCTTAGCTATTTATTTGATCAGCAAAAGTTTTCATTTTGATTAAGTCTAATCTATTTATTATAGTGTCCTCCATGAGCTAAGAAGTTTTCACATGGCACAAGGTTATGAATATAATCTTCTGAGTTTTCTTCTAAAAACTTTAGACTTGAAATCTTCACATTTAAGTGTTTAATCCAACCTGAATTAATGTTTATACATAGTGTGAGGTAGGGATCAAGAAGTATTCATTTTTGCTATACAAGTATCCAATCGATTCAGCAACAAGTATTGAACAGTATTGAAAAACAGTATTGAAAAAGCTTTCCTTTTCTCATTGACTTGCTTTTGGATCTTTGTCAGAAATCAATTGATCACATATATGTGAGTCTATTTCTAAACTCTATATTCTTTCTCATTGATCTACTGTCCAACCCCTAAGCCAAAATCACACTGTTTTAATTATAGTAGCATTATAGTAACTTGCATGAATTTACATTTCATTGCCACAAGCAATGAGAGTGCTATAGGCAGTGAATGTATCTGTTATCAAACTTTGATTTTTTTTCAGTTTGATAGGTGGAAAACTAAAGTATCTCAGTATGATTTAAATTTACATTTTTCTTTTCATGAGTGACATTGAGCATTTTTTCTTATTTTAAGTGCCTTTTGTATTTTCCTTTTGGTCACTGTCTGGAGTGTAATTGTAATATTGTTTCCCAGTTTGTCATCTTGTCTTCTGGTTTTACAGGTTGTATTTTTCATCCAAGCACAAGTTCAAACACTGTTATTTTATGGAGTCAAATCTAACAGTTTTTTATGGCTTCTTAATTTTGAGTCATCATTGGAAAAGTCTTCTGACTCCAAATTTATAAAATAATTATCCTTTGGGGCATATTTATTATTTATTTTTCATATCTGAATCTTTGATCTACTTGTAATTTGTCTCACTGTAAAGAATGAAGTATGGTTTCAACATTCCCTGCCCCCACACCAAAGGGAATATAGAATTGTCCCCAAAGTACATATAATGGTTTACCTTTTCCCCATGGCTTTTATTTTATATTTTATTTTACTTTGTTAAAACTGAAATCTCACTGTGTTGCCTACACTGAACTTGAACTACTGGGTTCAAGTAATTCTTCTGCCTCAGCCTCCTACAGAATGGGAGAAAATTTTTGCAATCTATCCATCTGAGAAAGCACTAATATACAGAATCTACAAGGAACTTAAACAAATTTACAAGAAAAAACAACCCCATCAAAAAATGGGCTAAGGATATAAAAAGACACTTCTCAAAAGAAGACGTTTATGTGGCCAACAAACATATGAAAAAAGCTCATCATCACTTGCCATCAGAGAAATGCAAATCAAACCACAATGAGATACCATCTCACACCAGTTAGAATGGCGATCATTAAAAAGTCAGGAAACAACAGATGCTAGAGAGGATGTAGAGAAATAGGAACACTTTTACACAGTTGGTGGGAGTGTAAATTAGTTCAGCCATTGTGGAAGACAGTGTGGTGATTCCTCAAGGATCTAGAACCATAAATACCCAGCAATCCTATTACTTGGTACATACCCAAAGGATTATAAAAATCATTCTACTAAAAGGACACATGCACATGTATGTTTATTGTAGCACTACTTGCAATAGCAAAGACTTGGACCCAACCCAAATGCCCATCAATGATAGACTGGATAAAGAAAATGTGGCACATACATACTGTGGAATACTATGTAGCCATAAAAAAGGATTAGTTCATGTCCTTTGCAGGGACATGGATGAAGCTGGAAACCATCATTCTCAGCAAACTCACACAGGAACAGAAAACCAAACACTGCATATTCTCACCCATAAGTGGGAGTTGAACAATGAGCACTCATGGACACAGGGAAGGGAACATCACACCAGGGCCTGTGAGGGAGTGAGGGGCTAGGGGAGGGATAGCATTAGGAGAAATACCTAATGTAGACGACAGGTTGATGGGTACAGCAAACCACCATAGCACGTGTATACCTATGTTGCAAACCTGCACGTTCTGCACATGTATCCAAGAACTTAAAGTACAAAAAATCTCATAATTCAAGAAAAAAAAATAGATGAAAAGGGGCCACTAGCTGAGGATGTGGACAGCCTCTAGAAGCTGGAAAAGGCAAGAAAATGATGTTCCCCTAGAGCCTCCATAAAGGACTAGGAACAAGTAACTTTCTTAAGAAAATGCTGAGTGAGTATTCCTCAGAAAGAAAACACATCCCTTTCAATGGATCCTATTTAAATATCCAGTATAAACCAACACTGTGATAAATTTTTATCTAATGTAATGCCACAAGCAAACATTAGCACTAAAAATGTTACAAAACGTGGACTTCGGAAAACCAAAAGATAGCCAGTTTCTTTTCCAAGAAATTTCTTATTAGCAATCAAACCCTACCTTTTCCCCGTGGCTTTTATTTTATTTCATATTTTATTTATATTTTATTTTATGTTATTACATTTTATGGAAAGCTAAAGCATAAATCTAGCAATTATCTTTAAAACAAGTCTTTTAAAACACTGACATTTTAATTCATACTCACATTGTCCTGACACTGAAAATGGGGAAATCATCTGGGTAGAACAAACTAAAATATTGACTTCTGATTTCTAAGTTTACCAATAATTATTAGACATTAATAGTTTCCCTTTCCTAGAGAAGAAAGGAAAAGAAGGACGAACTCATTCCTGGTTAAGCTCAGTGCCAAGTGGAGAGGTCAAGAAGAACGTAATGAACTTAATATACTCACACCTGCTTAATAATGGATGCTGTTAGGACAGTTCCTTTTGAAGACATAATTTGAAGCTCTGGATCCAATAGACAAGTAGTATTTATGATGGGTAATAACTTAGTAACAGCCTAAATGCACATTTTTATGAGACAAATAACTCTTCTTAAGCAAGTAAAAAGCAGACTAATAAGATGTTCCTACAGGATTTGACATAAACCTGAGAAAGGAAAACATCCCACCTGTGTGACACCACATAGAAGAGAGGCTATATAAGCACTTCAAAGAGGAAAACACCAAGAGTCTTGGAATTCAGACTCCGTGGAGGTGGCTTGAGCTTTTCATCCTGGTGACCACAGTCTTGGAAACCAACTAAAGCCGGACACATACTATGGATACCAAGGGCTGCACAACAACCAATTCTCCTTCAACCCCAAGTCAAAACTGCTCTAGGATTACAAATGTTAGTACCATCTCTTCTAACAACTGCTGCCATTCTGGTGGCCTTAAAGTCAAGAACTGTCAACCAGCTGGCCACACTCTCAGAACTACCCGGGACCAGGGCTGCCAACCCACTCCTTGCTTTTGTCGCAAGCCCATCTACCTAATAAACAACTTCATCTTGCATTCCTCTCTGGATGACTGCAGCTGGTATGGTGAAGGCATCAACAGTAATGAGAAGGAGACCATGCAAATCTTGAACGAGCGTCTTGCTAACTACCTGGAAAAGGTGCGAATGCTAGAACGAGAGAATGCTGAACTGGAATCTAAAATCCAGGAAGAGAATAACAAAGAGCTCCCTGTTCTATGTCCTGATTACCTGTCTTATTACACTACCATTGAGGAACTCCAGCAGAAGGTAAGATTCCTAGGAACCTGTTTAATCGTGTTGCGAATTGATGGTTTCCAAGCAACAGTTATTTGCTAAGCTTTAATATTTTTTGTTCAGTTGATGCTGAAACATTTTTTGAAGAATAGAAAAATCTCTTGAGCGAAATTGTCATCTTGAGGCAGCATTCAGAGTCTGCTAGTATTTCTGACCAGGCGCAGTGATGCACACCTGTAATCCTAACACTTTGAGAGGTTGAGGTAGACAGATCACTTGAGCCCAGGAGTTCTAGACCAGCCTGGCAACATGATGAAAGTCCATTTCTACAAACACACACACACATACACACACATTAGATGGGCATGGTGGCACATGCCTGTGGTCCCAGCTACTTGGGAGGCTGAGGTGGGAGGATCACTTGAGCCCAAGAGGTCGAGGCTGCTATGAGCTGAGATGCTGCCACTGCACTCCAACCCAGGCAAAAATGAGACTCTGTCTTTAAATATCAAAAACAAAAAGAAGAGTCTCATGATGTTTCCTTTCTCCAGAAATACACTCTACCATTATAACTAGATAACTCAGGACCAAAAGATGTTAACAGCAAGTTGTTGCCATTTTTTAAATAAAAATAGGGAAACAGAGATCAGAGAAAATAAATTTTGTTTTAATGAGTTTCTGAACAGTTTAGTTTTTATCCATTTTGCAACCATCACCACCTTTTTCTCCTTTTATGTTTATGTTATCATCTCCACATTGATTGGTTTGTTTCTACACCAAACCTAAGTTTGTTATGCACAGATATATTCTGCTACTACACATCTGGATTTATTCAGTTTTATTCATTCAACAGATGTTTACTGAGCAGTAACAATATTGAGCCAAACATTATTCTAGATTCTGGGAAAATATTGGTGACCTTTAAAAAGTCCCTGCCCTCATGGAGTTGACATTCTAGTGGATCATGGTATTCATATAAATCCATTCATATAAATGGATTTTTTTATTTTTATTTATTTATTTATTCATTTATTTATTGAGATGGAGTCTCACTCTGTCACCAGGCTAGAGTGCAATGGTGCAATCTCTGCTCACTGCAACCTCCAGCTCCCAGGTTCAAGTGATTCTCCCTCCTCAGCCTCTCAAGTAGCTGGGTCTACAGGCACGCACCACCACACCCAGATAATTTTTGTATTTTTTAGTAGAGATAGAGTTTCACCATGTTGACCAGGATGGTCTCGATCTCTTGACCTCATGATCTGCCCGCCTCAGCCTCCCAAGTGCTGATATTACAGGGGTGAGCCACTGTGCTCGGCCTGGATTTTATATTTTAACAACAACAACAAAAATACTTAAAAGTTTCTAGGTAAGTACTTTTTGCTGATCTTTTAGGAAAATAACAGGAAATCTGACTTTCTGAAGTTTTCCAAGCTTCATGAGCATAGCTATGAAGATTACTTTTAGTCTATTTAGCCTTTTCCTGTTACTTGACACACACACAAGCCCCTTGGTTCTTAAAGAAGGAAATCTTGGTGTTTGCTTCATTTGTGTGTATACAATCTCTTAATTCTAGATCTTGTGTACCAAGGCTGAGAATTCCAGACTGGTCTCGCAAATTGACAACACCAAACTGACTGCAGATGACTTGAGAGCCAAGTAAGCCCACACAACACCATCATCGATGACAGAGCTCACCTTGAGTCTGACCGAGGTGCCCTCAACAAAATTGTCCCCATGTCTACTAACCCTCTTGCCCCAGACCATGTTGGCACAAGCCCAGAAAAGACTTTCAAATACAATGAATGACTAAGATTAATAACTGCTCACATGTATACAGTACCTATAGTTTTGAACTTGTGAACCCATCTGATTACCTACACAACAGTTCAGTAAAATAGGTAGGGCTAATATATTGTTACCCTCTTTAAGGTGAGAAATCTGTGGCTTAGTGAGGCTAAGTTACTCACCCAAAGGTAAGCATAACTAGCACAAGTCAGAGCCAAAACTTGGACCCACGTTTTCTGAGCCCTAATCCAGTGCTTTCTTCACTTACACTGCATTGCCACTAGGGGCAGAGGAAGGACAATACATTCCCATATCTCAAAGGACAGCAATGTAGATCCCCCTAGCAAACTAATTTGGGAATAATAATTAAGTTATGATCTATATCAAATGGTTTCACCTCTAAAGAGAATAAAACTTTTAATAGAAATACACTAAGTGAGGTGCCCAGAGAAAAATGCAGATGGGAGTTCTGCTTGGCTTGGTTTGCATCATCTCCTTTCAGATGTCTCTGTTTTCCCATCTGGTTTTTTAAGGTATGAAGCTGAGGTGTCTCTCCGCCAGCTGGTAGAGGCAGATGCCAATGGCCTCAAGCAGATCCTGAATGTGCTGACCCTGGGCAAGGCCGACCTGGAGGCACAAGTCCAGTCTCTGAAAGAGGAGCTCCTTTGCCTCAAGAACAACCATAAAGAGGTGAGAGAAAGACCAGGAGAGTAATCACAAGCTAAGCCCCTAAAAGTAGCATCAGTTCCTTTGAGTTGCACCTGATAAAGGGTGTCCCCGCTTGTATTAGTTCGTTCTCACACTGCTATAAAGAAATACCTGAGAGTAGGTAATTTATAAAGGAAAGAGGTGTAATTGAGTCACAGTTCCACATAGCTGGGGAGGCCTCAGGAAACTTACAATCATGGCTTAAGGGGAAGCAGACACATCTCACTTGGCAGCAGGAGAGAGAGAGACCAAAGGGGGAAGAGCCCTTTGTAAAACCATCAGATCTTGTGAGAACTCATTCACTATCCTGAGAACAGCATGGGGGACACCACCCCCATGATCCAATCACCTCCCACTAGGTCCTTCCCTTGACAGGTAGGAATTATGGGAATTACAATTCGAGATGAGATTTGGGTGGGGACACAGAGCCAAACCATATCACTGCTACATACTACTCTGGTTTAGCCCTGAAAATACCCACTGCTACTAGCACTGGTTCAATGTAGTATTTCAAATCCGCTGGCTCCAACACAATATCTGGAGCCATAAGGGGAAGAAAGGCCTCCATCATCCCCTCCAGCTTTTCCACAAGAAGGATCCCAATTTTTCTGTCCTTACAGTCTTCCCGTGTTTGTAGGCATCCCTACACAGACTTCTGCCACCTCCCATTGGTACAAGTCAATATTGCTGCAAGTCAATATTGGCACAATCCCATATTTGTACCATAAAGACTATAATCTCTCATGATCAATTCCACCTTTATCCTGTTTCACCCATTATCCAGCCCTGGAAATGATCTAAAGTTTTTGGAACTCTGGTCTTGCTACTCATTTTTTTTTTAATTTTGCACATATTTAAACACACAGTCCTACTTGAAATAGTCGTAAATCATTTTATAGCATCAATAACACCTGTAAATCATGTATTCCTTTGTTGTGGGCTATATTTTAGACATAATTAAGCTAAATCGTAGCAATTAGAGTGAAACAAGAACACAGGGGGTCATCTGTTCACCAAGTGACTTCACATTCTTCTTCTTTTCACAGGAAATCAATTCTTTACAGTGTCAGCTTGGGGAGAGACTTCACATTGAAGTGACTGCTGCCCCTTCTGTTGACCTAAACCAGGTTCTACAAGAAATGAGATGTCAATATGAGTCCATCATGGAGACAAACCGCAAAGATGTGGAACAATGGTTCAACACACAGGTGGGGGAAACAGAAAAGTCAAAAAGAATAAGCTGATGCTGCATTTCTAGGGCCCTTTAATCAAAGTCATGTTTTCCTCCCATAATATTCTCAGTCTCTGGCTGTGTGTTTCAGATAGAGGAGCTGAATCAACAAGTGGTGACCAGCTCTCAACAGCAGCAATGCTGCCAAAAGGAGATCATAGAACTGAGACGCACTGTGAACACTCTGGAGGTTGAACTGCAGGCCCAGCATCGAATGGTACCGAGCAAGCTGACCAAGCCGTGCTCAGCACAGATGGCAACAGTCCCTGACACCTGTGTGTTGCAGTATTTCCCAAACTGTGTCTCTCAGAACAACAGTTCCTCTTTTGTTAAAGGGTCTATGGCTGAAAAAGGACTTTGTGGCCAAATAAGTCTGGGAAATGCTGGACTAAACCAAGGTTAAACAGGGTGCCTTCCTGTGAGCCATTAATAAGTTAATATACACCATGAATCTCCAAGAAGGGGATATATGGTATTCAGCATTCCAAAACTTATTTGACTGTGGATCCCCTGCCCCCCTGCCCACTTTTTTTTAGAGCATCTCATGGTATTAATGATTCATGAAGTACACTTTGGGAAACACTGGGAGAGCATTTTATTATATGCAAAGCATTTTTACAAGCTATCACGTGAAATTTATAAAGTAATCCTAAAAGGGGGGTGGCATAATTATTAACGCATGTTACAGACGAGGCTCCAAGAGCTAAGGTGATTTTCCCAAGCAAATCCAAGGTAAGTTTCAGCCCACCTATTTTATAAACAGAGACACTGAGATCCTGAGACGTTGAGAAACTTGTCCAAAGTCACAAAAGAAATAAGAGTCTGAGCCAGAGTTTAGATTCCAAAGCCAGTACCATTCTGTCTCATGACAATGCCTCTCTGAAGCAGAGAATTGCTTACATGCTCTGATGTGAAGCATTTTAGGAAGACCTTGCCCCACACTGGTTTTGTCACCGGTTAGTCATGTGACCTTGGACAACATATTGAACCACTTGAACCTCAGGTTTCTCATCTATAAAAATTGGGGTAATCACACAAATAATAGCTATTAAAACCTAAAATCCCATCATTATCCATAGACTTACAGAATGATAGAACAGGAATGAAATTTACTCATCAGTTTCAACATTCATATTTTACATATAAAGGAATTGTTCTGGTGGATAAATTGTATATGGTTAAACATTTCTTGCTTCCTTTTCGATGATACAAACACTCACTGAATGAAGTGCCATGGTAATGGGTTTTGTTTTTTGTTTTGTTTTGTTTTGTTTTTGAAATGGAGTCTCACTCTGTTGCCCAGACTGGAGAGCAGTGGCTTGATCTCAGGTCATTGCAACCTCTACTTCCTGGGTTCAAGCAATTCTCTGCCTCAGCCTCCCAAGTAGCTGGGATTACAGGTGCCCACGACCACACCTAGCTAATTTTTTTTGTATTTTTAGTAGAGATGGGGTTTCACTATCTTGACCAGGCTGGTCTTGAACTCTGGACCTTGTGATCCACCCACCTCGGCCTCCCAAAGTGCTGGGATTACAGGCGTGAGCCACCATGCCCAGCCAGTGATGCATTTTTAATGCCTGGGTGTGCAATAAGTTATTTCTTTTTCTCTCCTAAGTAGGAAAGTGTGGTGCAAGATTATCAGGTGGTCAAGAAAGTGAAATAAATACTTAAAAAGAGGCAAAAAAAAGAGAAAGAGAGAAAGAGGGAGGAGATAAAGGAAAGCAGATTTTAGCATAGTTGATCATTTGGGTTTTGGATTTATTTGCTTAGGAAACAATAAATAAAGTGCTTGGAGATCTATCAGTAGTGTCACAAAGAAACCATTTTTTTTTTTTGCCGGGCACAGTGGCTCACGCCTGCAATCCCAGCACTTCGGGAGGCCGAAGTGGGCAGATCACGGGGTCAGGATATCGAGACCATCCTGGCTAACACGGTGAAACCCCATCTCTATCAAAAATACAAAAAAATTAGCCAGGCATGGTGGTGGGCACCTGTGGTCCCAGGTACTTGGGAGGCTGAGGCAGGAGAATGGCATGAACCCGGGAGGCAGAGCTTGCAGTGAGCTGAGATCGTGCCACCGCACTCCAACCTGGGCAACAGAGCGAGACTCCATCTCAAAAAAATAAAAAAAGAAACCATTTTTTTTAAATGATACAGGTCACAGGTGACCTGGGCTTAAAGGAGTCATCATTATAAACCCTACTATCCTTCTCCATGCTAGAGAGATTCCCAAGAGTGCATCCTGACGGAGACGGAGGCTCGCTACACAGCCCTGCTGACCCAGATCCAGAGTCTGATCGATAACCTGGAGGCTCAGCTGGCAGAGATTCGGTGTGCCCTGGAAAGACAGAACCAAGAATACGAGATCCTGCTGGACGTCAAGTCCCGGCTGGAGTGTGAGATTACCACATACCGCAGCCTTCTGGAGAGCTTGGATGGCAAGTACGTAAAATAACAACAACTTCTATGACAAAGAAGTGCAAATGAACCATATATGTACTGCCACTGGCAATAGGGGACAAGTGCTTTGTTTGACCTTCTTGCCAGTGATGGGGAGCTTGGACAGAGGCATCCACACACCCTCTCAAGCTGTGCCATGAGGAAGACTTGCAATTGTAACCTCATCCAAATTTGAGGCGTTGGCTGTTCTGAGGAGCCCATGCGCCAGGTTAATTTCTTACAGGTTGCTTACCTTCTTCGAGTTTTAAAAATTACTAGAGAAAAAATGATTTCCCCTTAGATGAATATTCCCGGTGACCATTCCAGATGTTTCCCCACTGAGATGAACATTTGATTTTCATGAGCTTGTACAAAACAACCCAGGCTCCTTTGGAGGAACATTCTGCTCAGGCTGAAACCCCTAACCCTATCTAGCCACCAGTCCTTGAGGCCAACAGAGGCACGTACACATGTATGTTTTAGCATCTTTTTTAAAAAATAAAAGTTATAATTTTTGTAAACAATAAAAATCTAACCAACCCATAAGTAAACATACCTGGAGGATGAGTTCTTTGAAGTAACTCAGTCCAAACTAACACCTGAGAGACTTAGGTACAATTGTAAAGGAGACCTACTTCCCCAAAATAATCAGTGAACTCTTCACAGCATTCTTTTAATTGGCATGACCACATTATATGAGCACAATGGTCATCAATGCCGTCACCTTTAGGAGCCGTGATCATATACCAAAATACCTTGAATCATCAAAGAAAGATTATGTTTATCAAAAGAGTGTTTACTATGAACTGCTTTTTACTCCAATTCTCTAAAAACTATGTATAGACGGCTAGAAGGCATTTTGAAGCTTCCTGATGACACAGTGAGGACTCTTTCATAGCTGGAGTTAGGCCACCACTATTAGTATGACTAACTCCGCAATGAGAAAAATATCTGGTTAACTTCCATTCCTCAGATAATAATCCCCTCAACTTGTTCCTTATCACTGTTGATCCTGTAGGTTTAGTTTCCATTATATCCATTCTGCAGATGAACAACTAAAGCTTGAGAGAGTTAAATGACTTAGCTGAGGTCACCAGCTGGTAAAGGACAGAGCTGTTGTCTGCCCCAGTCTTTGACTGCTAGTGCGGTATTCTTTCTACAATGCGATGGTATTGACTAACAGAAACTTACATAATCGAATACTTCTAAACCCAGGATGCTGATTTCCAATGGATTTGATCCGATTCTTTTTCTTCCACCAACTACAGTACAAAATGAATGAATAAGCATTTGGAAGTATGTGCTTGTCTTGAGCAACAAGTGTTAAAAAAAATTAGCCACGACCATTTTTCTCCATGACCATCATCGCCTTCCCTCAATCACAGCTAAAATTCTGTTTTTTCTTTAGGCGTCCCTGTTACCCGTGTACCACCAAATGTGAGCCTTCCCCCTGGACATCTTATAAGTCCGGAGCCATGGAATGCACGGCCCCAGCTTGCACATCCTCAGCCCCCTGTGGCTTAAAGGAGCACTGCAGTGCCTATGGACCCCTGTCCCGGATACTGGTTAAAATTTGCACCATCACCAAGGAGATTAAGGATGGGAAGGTCATTTCTTCTTACGAGCATGTGCAGCCTTGTTTCATCATCAGACCTGCCAAAGTCTAACATCCCAAGGTGATGAAAATGACCCACATTTATGAAAGAGAGGCCAATACATGCTCCTGCCAGAGAGGTTTAAGAAAACTCCCCAGTCCCTTAAGGTACTTAGTTTCTTACTACTATAGCGGGTCCCCATTGCTAAGTAGAATATCTTGTATTCTGCTCCTTCCCTAGCTCACCACTGCTAACATGATAATAAATTACATTTCTTTGGAAGGACATTTTGCATTTATCTGAGGGCTGGGAACTGATTTGTAAGCACCCAGAAAGATGGCCTACATTGCTTGACTTCACAGGTGATTGATGGGCAGGCCTCTCTCTTGTTTACTCAGGCCTTGTTTACTGACATTCCTCCTTAGAGCCAGTCAGACAAGTTTAGAGTTGTTTTTGGCCACTGGCACCTGAAGGTGAAAAGTTACAACCTTCCCTTCTAAATTTCTTTGGATACAGAAAGAAACATACATGGGAACAGTATAAATAGGGGAAAAGATCTTTAATATTTAATTCCCTTGTGTAGATAGTCACGAGTATGGATCCTATTAAACCCTGCTGTCTTAATTATGATTTATCTACACTAACATACTTGACCTTTCCAAAGATAGTTTTTAAATGTCCATGGTCTCCGAAACTTTGTGACCTATTAGGCTTTCCAAATATTTTATTTGAGAGTCAGATAAGTTGCGGGGAGTGAATCTAGAACACTTTGAAGAAATAGCATGGGTCTTTTCATTAAACATTTGCTATTTCTCTTTCTATTCTTTAGGGAATGGGAGTTTGTTCTGATTGTCTGACAAGGAACATTTAGCTGGAACTCTCAAGAAATAACCCTTCTTCCCCTCCCTGTGAAGAGTGACAAAGAAAAACATAGCTTAGATTCCTGCTTCAATCTATCCATCAGAGTAAATGGACATAATATCCACACATTTTGCAGAAAAGCAATAGTGAATAGTTGCTGCTTGTAAGCGCAAGGCAGTCCCAATGTGAGAAGGCATCAGTTACATACCAGCCATCATCACAGCTTCTGGCAGGATAGTCACAGAATATGTAAGTCATTCCCGACAATAATCATGGACATTGCCAGAGGTTTTAAGAAATAATTCAAAATCAAACACAGATGGAAAGTCAAAAGGCCCGAAGTTCTACACCTGCATTTCCCAGCTGTGACCTTGGGGAAAACATTTAGACTTCATCAAATTTAATTTCTGTGTTTCTTAAATGAGGATCATGCCTACTTCACAGGGTTGTTGTGAAGATCAAATGAAATTGTTTATGTGACACTTCTTTGAATGCTGAAAAGCACCACCCAATGTGATTTTTATGTAAGTTTTGCTTTTAGCTACAGCCCTAGACCTATTTTTGTAATTAGCTCATTTTAAAATTCTTTCTTCATGAATTTAGTTATCCAGTCATGATTCTGGAGTTTTAATAGTGTTTAACTTTTGGGAGGAAAGAAAAACACGATTTCCTGTGATCAGGCCCACAATTCTTCTCAATAAAGCATTTTTCAATTCTTAGGGTATGTATCACATATCAGTGAGTCAATGCCTGATGCCCACATCAAAGACACATGCATTGTGTAACTTACAGTTCAATGATTTACTTCCTCCAGACAAGTAGCAACTTACACTAGGCAAGTGGAATGCAGAACTCCCAGAATGACCTCTTTTTAATCAATAAGTTCTCTCTCATCTGAGTGGGCAGAGTAACTCCGGTCAGCAGTTAACTGCGTATTATCTCAGGCTGCAGGATGAAAATGTGGAAAGAGCATGGAACTGGGATTCAGAAACCTTGGGACGGAGTCTCAATCCAGCCTGTGCATGTATGACCTCGAGTAAATAGGGTATAACAATATAAGCCCTGCCTACCACAGGGCTATAAGGATAAAATGGAATAACGATGGTGAAAGGGTCTTGTAAACTGTAAGGTGCTTTGCAGAAGGGCATTCCTATTCCCTACATTGAAAACTAGACACATGTCATTTCCATCAACACCTTCTTCCTTTCTTTCTGGTTCAGTGCTGGGCCCAGGTGGACCTTGATATTTATCATCCACACTAAAATCTGCTCCGAGCTACAAAATTAGGGTTGAGGAATCTCACTGGACTCAAGCTAACCTTGAGCTGGTGCAGCAGTGCCATTTTCAGTTTATCCTAGAAGTAGGATGCCTTTCTCTTATGGAGTGCAAAATATCCCCCCATGCCATTCACGGTTTAAAAAAATACATGATTATAAGTTGCACAGTAAAGAGGGGAGTTAGCCACTCGAAGGCTTGCAGCTTTTTTTTTTTTTTTAAGTATCTTCTTCAGATAAAAGAATGTAAAACCACTTGCTGGTTGTACGCGTGTGGTCAAACCTTTTAAAGGAAATAAGAAGTCTGGATTTTTACTGGGAGGCTAAATAAGTATCCTACACAGCCACAGGAGGAAATTTAAGGTTTTATGACAGTTCAGCATAAGTCAGCAGCTGGAGCAGAAAAGGGGCTCATGGGGAGGGAAACTGTAATTTTAGCACAATTCGAAAGACAACCATGAATCAGGATACACAGCATGGTCTCCAGAGCCTGAGGTCAAATCCTCTCTCTCTGCTTCTCCCTCTGAGGGTCTATAGTTCTATTCCTTAAAAAGGGAGATATTTTAGATATATTTTTTCTGGATTTTTTTCCTTTCTTCTTGTTGACTCCACTTCATGTCATAGCTAGTTTAAACTCTTCCAAAATACAGAAGTACCATTTGGCTTCTCTGTGCTTAGACTCTGGGCACTCACCATGGACTCTTCAAAGCTTATGTCCTTAGTTTCTCTTACAAGCTCTGACATTACTTACCATGTCTAGTTTTCTACCTCTGTAAATAAGAACTGACACCAAAAAAAAAGTCTTCCAACCTGCCCCCACCCCACCTTGCCAGTGTCTTTTAAAGGCAATTAGATGGTATCAGTGAGATCTTCATGTTCTTTAGAAGATAATGACTCTATGTTGTTATTAATTCCCATCATTTCCATTTTTTCAAACAATGAAGAAAAGTATCTTACTCCAGACAGAAACGGACCCCTCGCCTGAGTAAGTTTATCCTATTTCTGTCCATTTTGATTTGAAATTAAAGTTCCTATAATGAAAACCCATTTTAAAAGCAAACATCCACTTTAAATGAGAGAAGGGGGGAAAGATTAAAATTCAAGAGAAAAGGAAAGTGTCCCCAAAGAGAAGAGAATAAGTTCATGTTAGGTTAGGAAGAATTTCTAGGCTGAGGCAATCAGCATCCGTGACACAGCCTTGGGTTAGTCTCAGGGCAAGCAAACCTTGAATACATTGTTTCAACACTGTGATCAAATGTCTTTTATAGGAAATGAATCCTCTGGGTATTGGGCTGGCTAGAAGTATCTGGTCAGTGTGTTCATGCATGATTCATAAGCTTCATGGGAACAACCCACGCACCCAGTTCAAATGGGAGCAACCCTGTCTGGCAGCAAAGAAAGGTTTGCTGTAATTATCCTTTCAGGTTGAGCATCATATTTGGAGAGCTTTCCTAGGTGACGCTTTTAAGCCATAGGCTACCACTTACATGCACATGGGGAAAATATGTATATCAATGTTTCTAAACATCTTAAGAAGGCATCCCAATAGCAAAATTTCTGAATATGTTTTCTTGATCCTCTCTCTCTCTCTCTCTCTCTCTCCTCCCCCAACTCCCTTCCTTTCTCTCTTTCTGGAACAATACAACAGTCAAGGCGGACATACTAGTTGTACCTGGATAAAACATCTCAGACAGTAAGTTCTCTTACTCTTTTTAGGAGGACAGCAGGTTTGGGACTCCCTTCTCTTTTTCCTTCTCCAAAAACAATAACAAAAAAAAAGTTTCCGATATTACAGCTTGTTATGGAGGGTCACTGAGCCAGCTAATGCTCGAGAGTTCCCGGAAAGGGTTGTATCCACACGTTTGGTATCTGTGGCCCTTAAAGAAACTGCCTAACTCTGCTGACCCAGAAGACCTGGAGAGAGACCACACTTTGGGCTGAATATCTCTAAACCTGGGTAGTTGGTCATAAGGAACTACCCATCAACTGTATGTAAGGGTAAAAAGGTCTCTCTGCACTTCTGTGCAGGATAAATGTCTGTCAGCTCATTGTTCATTGACTGGAAAAAAATAACTGTGTTCTCTTCCTTCACTGCCACTTTCTAAGAAACACCCCCCTCCCCATTCCCAGCAGAGACTCTGGTTGCAGGGACAAGTCTCACAATGGAAGGTAAATAAAATTACTACCCATGTAAGAGCACTCTGTAAGTTCAGTGGGGAAAAGAGACTAGGATGAAAACTCAGAACAAGCACCCCTTTAAAGAGATTAGAAAAAACTAGAAGAGAACTTTGGCCACCTTTGTTTAAAAAGCAGAATCATGTACTGATTAAGAACACATACTTGAATCTAGACCAGCTGGGTCTTTGATTCCCAGCCCTGCCATGTACCATGAGATCTTGGGCAAGTTACTTAACCTCTCTATTTCCTCATCTTTAAAATGGGGCTATTAATAGCATCTACTTCATAGGGCAGAGATGACATCATTAATTAATGCATGCAAAGCTCCTGGAGCATGCCTGGCACCCAGTAACCTTGTTAGTAGGATTGCCTTATACTGCTTCGTGAGCTTACTTCAGTTGGCAAACTAATCACACGAGAGCTAATGAATTATTTCACTTGAGCCAAATGACAGTGGCATAGTCATGCAAGGCCATTCTGATAACTAAAGAAAGTGCTAGATTAAGGATAGAACCTTTCTTTTTAAAAGAAAGCTGAATCACACCTGACCCAAAGTAAAATCCACATACAGGTCCAACTCTTCTGTTTTCCAGAATGTTAGGAAGCTCAACCGTAAAGGACCTCTCCATCATGTTATCAACCTTCACAAGCTTTGCGGCCAGTAGGAAGAAGATAGCCCAGGAGGAGGAGGGAGAAGAGTTTGAAGTCATCCCTGTAACAGGATCACGTTTGTGGACAACTGAAATGACAGGGCAATTCAGAGAGGACTGATGGCCCTTCTCCTAGTACAGTATCTGTTACCCTTGTCCCTTGTGGCCCTGATGTTTCCTAGAGTCAGGTTTTGGTGTCAACAGAGAAAACAGCTGGAAGTCTTCTCCACCACCAACACATAATAAAAGTAATCACAGATGCACAGAAGCCACAGTGTCTCCTAGGGCCAAAAGGTAGAAAGAGCAATGCT